AAAAATATTATGGAGGTTAAATCCCTGCTGCAGTGGCTATTCTCATCCAGGTTCGTTAGTGAGTTGGTTAGATGAGAATAAAAACTGTCCAATAACCTACTGATTATAAGTAACATATAGCCATGAAGCTTATTATGTCTCAGTACTCCTATGATTTTTATAACCAATGAGGAGGAAGGTCTGTATTTGCAAATAAGACAAAAACTTATGTTTTTTTTTTTTTTTTCCTCCTAAGAGAAATATATGTTTTGGGTATAGTATTAAAGACTGAGTTTACCTCTGAGTTTATTTTCTAGCTTTGCCTCTGAAATACTTTGAAAAATGTTTTTGTCAGGAGGAATATATGAAATTAATTACCGCTTGCATTTTGGATGTGCTATGAGGATAAAATTATGCATATATTCCTGCAACATTTCCAGAGAACAGTGTATATATGAAATCTTCTACGTCAGTATTGAAGTTGTATTAAAAGACGCTGACATAGTTCAATTCTGCTGGTACTTAAAAACAATACTCCTAAAAGGAATTCACTCAGAACAGTGATTTTGTTCTATAGATGTAAAGAGTTAAAATCTTAACATTTCCAACTCAACTGTGTTTTCAAGAGAAAGTGACATAGGCACTCTTCAGTGCTGTAATGCAAGTTCTAACTTCACAAGCAAAATACCGCTAGGTAGATGAGACCAATAATACTGGAAGCTCTTCTAATTTAAAAATATTTTTTATATAATTCTTTTCAGACTGTAAAAAAAATACATCATCAAAATTCTGGCTAAGGCATTCATCAGATCTGTATTTGCAGGCAGTGTGTATCCACCCCTCACAGTTATTTTAACATTAAAACTAGCACAAATAGCAAAATGCAGTATTTCTTTGCTTAGCCTCTAAGAAGAAGAAAAGAAAATCAGAAAAGAAAATAGAAAAGAAAAACAGAAAAGGAAACAGAAAAGAAAAACAGACAAAGACAAAAGTAAACGTACCTTCTCCTTGAAAACCCGTTTTTCTGTGGCAGTTACAATAATGGAGCACAAAAATGGCAGAAGCTGTGAATTTGCCTTGGTGGCATATTATTGTGCTTTGACACTGTGATTTCATTATTAAGCTCTTCCTATAACAGGGTGTAAAAATCCCGCCTACGTCTTACTCACTTCCCTTACCCTGCACTTCTGTAACCTAACAGGGTTAAGTGTTGTGACAACAGTATTTTTCTATAGGGGGGCAAACAGGCCAGAATAGAGGGACACCCTCTTTACCACTTCATTCACATCATTTTCACTCATTTCTGTCACAAGTTTTTCATATGGGCTTCTGTAGAGGGCACAGCCTCAAAGGCAGGTGGATGTATGAGTCCACCTTCTGGCTCAAGTATAGGTCAGATACCATTGTTCCAAGCCACGC